TACGAACAAAGATCATATAAACACAAGATAGCGTTCTCCGCGATTTACGCGTAACAAATAGAAGCGTCGGTCAAGGTTCAAAAGTTTCCAATTTAGCAAGAGGGTGCCATTCATGCGCTATTATACCAAAGAGAAAAAGTAATCAGTTTTGGAAGAGGGCGTCCTATCTGTTGCCATGGATCTGAGAGGGTTCTTTTCTGCTGTTCACAGGATTGATACCCTAAAGGTAAAGTCGCGCGGTGTACGGTATGCGATTTTTTTTCCGTACGAAACATTTGCATGAAACTTCACTCGGGCCATCTCGGATTGACTCGAGTGAGTACGATACGAGGAACAAGATCAGACACTTCTCAATGTTGTGACGCTCGAGTTTTACTATTACTGTATTGCTCTTTCTATGTTTACCTACGGTAGGCTTATGAAATCTCACGGACTTATGGGATGTACGTGTGTAACTAACTGTGACCTTCTTGGATGTTATTAAATGTTAGTATATTATCTATAAAAACAACAGCTAGTACCTCCTGTTATAAAGTGTAGATAGGTACAGTAATACCAAAGGCTAGAGAGAAAGAGGCCAACAGGCTAAGATCTTAACCTAGGCCCCTCCTTAAACTAGGCCTAGGGTCATAGGCTGTCACCAACATACTGACATTGACTGACATTTTTGGGGGAAAATAGGACAAAATTGAAGCATGAAATAAAAAATAGAGCGCATAAGAGAAATATTATTAAATAAATAATATACCATCCCGGCGTTATTGAACTTGTCCAAACTATCATTGTAATGTAATTAATGTTAAATAATAATGATAATAATAATAATAATAATAATAATAATAATAATAATAATAATAATAATAATAATAATAATAATAATTTCAGCATTAACTACCTTGGCCTAAGCCTTGTAATGAAGAACCTACAGATACCGTACTATTTACTAGACCTATAAATAATAATCGCCCAAGGGGAATATCTTTTGTGTTATTTCCCCTTAACGTCGTTTTTTTAATTGTTCTCTAATTCCTCCATTGTCTAAGTTCCTCTTAAGGTACAGGTAATAATAATAATAATAATAATCATTTCGGCATTACATGTAATTAACTTGGTCTAGCCTTGTATCAAGAACCTGCCGATTACTATGCCTAGTATTAATAACTAGCTCATTTTTACATTCATTTGGTGCTCTGCCATTTTGGCAGGTCTTATGGCATCCAGTATTTTAGAGCTGCCTATTCTCAGCTCTTCTCTTAATTTGAAAATAACTGTCACCCTGTTTCATTTGATGAAGAAAAACGCCGCGCTTTTCCTTACTCTTTGTGCTTTTCCCAGAAAGCGTCTGGTAGGCCTAGGTAATTATGCAAAACCAAGGCTTAACTAAAAAATTAAAATTGTCATAGTATGTAACTCAAGTTAAAATAACACTTTTCATTACTCGTGCAGCTTAATCAAATATTATATGTCATTTTAAACGACCCATTAACATGTAACATCAATGTATTTTTAAAAATTAGACAGACGTTCTCCCAGAAGTTGTTTTGTAGACGTTTATTTGTTGATGACCTTTTGACCTCCTGAATTCTGCAATGAGATTTTCGGGTCGATTCAGCCGAGACGGCCCGAGTGGAGTTTCATGTAAATGTTTCGTACGGAAAAAAAAAATCGCGTACGGTATGGTCAGAGCGGTCAAGTGTCAAAAGTTTCCAATTTAGCAAGAGGGCGCCATTCATGCCTTATTACAGAATTTGCACGCGTAAATCGCAGCGAACGCTATCTTGTGTTTATAAGATCTTTGCTTACGAATTGAAATAAACACAGTAATCAATAAATACTCCTAATAAAACCTAAATAATATTGAGGGCCCGCTGGTCGGTTTTTTTTCTTCAAAAATATTTAGTTCGATATTATTTTTGTAAATATTATTGTTAGGCCTATATATATATGAATGCGCCCCTAATAGCCCTAGGTCGCAGTGCTTTGCAAAAGACAATTATTTAGATAACTATAGAGGCATTAGGCCTACTATGTTGCCAAAATTTGTAAGCGTATAGTAGTTTGTGATCTTGCTACTCACACATCATAAAACAAACCAAACACCTAGGCCTATTCAGCCTTCCTAGATTCCCGCAAGGCATTTGATTCGGTTACTAGGCCAGATCGAAATCCAGATTGCCGAATGCCATATTGCCGAGAAAAATTTGGCGAATGCCAGTTTGCCGAGTACCAGTTTACCGACTCAAAAACAATGAATCCCAGTTGGCCGAAACCCAGCTTGCCGAACCCAGTATGCCGAACCCAGTTTGCCGAAACTTAGTTAAAAGCAGTGAAACATTGACAAAATAATTATTCACTCATAAAACTTAAATCTTTGTTTAAACCATTAACATTAGATTTATGACAGAGGAACCAACGAATTTCATCACATCTTCTAGCCTTAGGCCTAGTAGATTTGGTACCTAAGATATAAATCCTAAATCACTGATAGAATGTATTGGTAAAATTAAAGTGGTCAACTCAAGGAAGCCCTTTTGATGTAAGGTCTTTAACTAATTTGTTTGTAGTAGTCATACATGCCAACATTTTGATAGTAAACAACGAGAGAGTTTGGCGTTAAACGCCACCGAATGCCTTGGCCTGTGGGGAGGGGGTGTGTCCCCATTGAATGCGGGTCCAGGGGGTGTACCCCCTGAAAGCTTTAGCTATTTATGTAGGCCTATTTATTATAAGGGTAAATCTCATGATTCTAATGATGTGTATTCCAATAACAACGTTATTAATTTTAAACATCATATTTTCTTGTGTGGCTATGTGTTTATGGATCTATTTCTCATTTGATGGCCTTTTCAATACAATATAAAGAAAATCTGGATTCAATGCTTGTCATAAAATGCGTTTTCAATGGGCTTAACTTGATACAGATAATTACTGGGCCGGCAAGTGTAACTTCATGTCTAATTATTCAAAGTAAGGTCTTGTCCAGTTACGTCACTATTCTATATTTAACAATCTAGTCGTAATTATTATTTACCTTTTATTTATAACAATTCAGACAAACTGCACCACTCACGGAGAGGCGATGATCTTGTCGACAAAAATATTGAAAGATAACGTAAATATTGAAGATTTCTTAGTATTTTATTGCAAAAAAAGGATAAATTAATATGTAAGTCCACCTATGCAATTTTCTTTGTCAACCGGGAGAGCAAGTGAAAAAAAGTGAGAAAAAAAAATGTGCCCGCAGTTTGAGTTTAAATTCGGTTTCGCCTGCATAATTGCCATCATTAGGCCTACACTTAGTTCAAAATAGTAATGTGTTGCGCTTTACACACACACATAATATAATACACATATAAATATATATTTATTTATATAAGGTTTCCCCTTATGGATACTTCTAAGGTGATAAGTCGTGGGACTAGTTTGGGCCCTACCTAAGCTGGTTGAACGTTTCGTTTGTGTCTGTACCCTAGCTGCACTGATGAGGCCTGGAAGGCCGAAACGGATCCGTCTGCAGATATTGGGATTCCTTCCAGTGGATGCTTAGTTTATTTTGTCAATCTGATCGGATTTTCTCTACTGTTCCGTTTTTAATTTTTAATTTTAAATTGTTTTGCATTATATGGCCGTTTTTTTATGGGTTTTTCCCATTTGCCTTTCCAA